TAACGCCTCCCGTGGGGGCTGCTCTCGGCTCCCGGCCCGGCCGAGGGGGCAGGCGCCGGGCTCGCTGTTGCGATGAGGGGGCGCGGAACGGGAGGGCGGGACTGAAGCGACATCGCAAACACTGCGAAATCCGCCCGCAAAAGCATAATCGGCCGCAGCTCCGGGCCCTGTTACAGCTTCTCTCGCATCGGCAGTGGAGGTGGGCCACCCCTTTGCTCCAATGCAGCGTTGGAGCGTTTGGCCGACATCATTCCTGGAGGAGGGCTTAGATCAATAGAAATTTATTTAAAATAACTATGACTCTGACCTCTTAGGTGCTGAGAAGTGGCTGGAATGGAGGAAAGAGATTGAACTGCTTTCTGATATAGCCTACTTCAGCCTCACCACTTTGTCAGGTAATGAGTGTAGTAGCTTATTTAGGAGAAATGCTGGGGGTAGTAGTTCTAACAGTATGAAGAAAAAAAAAAAAGATTTCTGGCCTGGGTGGTTGTTATTTGTTTGTGACCACCCCCTGGCATGAGATTGCTGATTGACTGTCATTAATGTAACAGTAAGTTTATGCTTCTCTATGCCCGTTATTGCTCTCTGCTTCTAAATGCCCATCATAAAATAACACTATATTGTCACAAACGTTATAAATTTGCTGTTCAAATGCAACAATTTATCACTGCTTTTATATATAATGTTATTTTAAATGCAGAAGCTGCCCTTTTTTTAAAAAAAAAAAAAGGCATGACAGTATGAAAAAGTATTCCTGCTTTAACACTTCAATCCATTGCAGACATTGAATAGTGATAATAAATATTGTACTCACCTCATTCAACACACAAATTCATGAAAACTCCAAAACCTGTGTTCTGACCCGAGCAGCTTGTCACCACTGCTTAACCATACAGAGAACAATATTGCAATTGTTATCTTACCCTTTTTGTTTTCCGTTACACACGCTTCTTAGGTTATCAAACTCTGGGTGAAGAGTATGTTAACATTGTTCAAGTTGACTCAACCAAAAAAAGGGTGCCTTCTTTTCTTCGACGAGCCATCTTGATTTCTCTTCACACTGTAGCACCCTATTGCTTAGAAAAAGGATTACTGCATCTGGAACATGAATTGCAGACAGAAACTCATGGGTCTAGAACCCAGCAGAGCAACCCAGCATGCGGCTTGTTGGATAGGACCTTAATACGAAACTGGATACAGAACCAAGTTGGGGAACTGCCAGAACAGCAGAAAAAAACACTACTACAAATTGTATATGTTCTTAAACAATGCATTCCTTTGCTTCGTCGATTACATCTGGCAATATTCTATATATATGGCACTTTTTATCACCTGTCTAAAAGGATCACAGGAATCACATACGTAAGTAGATTTATTTCTTGTTTGAAAATAGCGTCCACTGCAATATTTTGGCTTCTGTTGGGATGCCGTGTTGGTAAAAGGAATATAGAATTTGGCCTTAGCCGATTACAATACTGGCAGTGCAGACTGGGTGAAGAGGGAAATTTTAAATACTCTACAGAGAGGTTATGAGTCTTTCCAGTTTAAAGGCTATGACTAGTAAATAATTTTAGAATATTATCTAGTCCAGTGTGTCTTCTACAAATAAATAAAAACTGAAAAGTGGCTTAATAAATGCATGGAAAATACTTAAACATAGTTTTTAAACAAAAATCAGTACACATTTAGCTGGGATTTTTTCCACATGAAAAGTTTAATTTAACATTATCTTTCCAAAAAGCATCTTTCAAAAACATCCTCAGCCACTGGCATAGAGCTGTGTATAGACACAAGACCCTTCAACACTTTCCTAATGAAAAATCTTGTCTATGTGGAAAAGAGCTGTTTGACTATTTGCTCAGAGCCACTTAACAACAATCTGATTAGAACAGTAGCTTTGATAGACAGACTGACAACTCAAGACAAATGATCCTTGTACAGACAGCAGTTAAGTGTAGCCTGATGCATCCAGGACATGTACAGAGAGACAGCTGAAGGGCAGCTTGATAGGTCCAAGAAACATAGTATGTCAATTTGGGGGACAGAAATGAGAATTTCCAAATTGTTTTACTGGTAACGGGGGACAGTTTCATGATAAACTGCAACAACTTAACATCTTTATTTCTGTGAACTATGCAGCTGTATTTTGGAGGATTGCAAGGAGAAGATCAGAGCATTCGATCAAGTTACAAGTTTCTTGGAATAATTTCACTCTTGCATCTTCTTCTAACTATTGGCGTTCAGATGTACAGCTTCAAACAGAGGCAGAGAGCAAGGCAGGAATGGAAACTGCACCGCAATCTAGCTCATCAGAAGTATGATGATCTTTACTTATTAGAAAAGAGGCAGAAACAATAATGGGAAGTGTAATGACTTTTATGAACAGGGACAGCACTAGAGTTTCATTTTAACTTAAGTTAAAACCTGATGTAATGTAACACCTGAGACACATCCCTTACTGATTTAAGCATCTCTTAGATTTCATGCTTGGCTTTTATACTTTTAAAATCTTCACAGACAGGGTTAATACTTGAAGACAAGATTTACTTTAGGATTCTGTATTATAAAATATTTCTTGCAAGTAATATATAACTATGTTAATTAGAAACGTGACTGAGGAAAAAGCTACTGGGCGCCACTCCCGCTGTACTTTGTGTTTGGAAGAACGGAGACATGCAACAGCCACCCCCTGTGGCCACCTGTTCTGCTGGGAATGCATCACAGAGTGGTGTAATACCAGAGTAAGTACAGAAGGAAAATACAGACTTGAAAGGGTAGACATGATGCAATTTCTACTTGTAAATACCTGTCAGCCTGGGTGTTGAAACAGTACTTTTTCCTTTACTAATGCACGCTAAGTCCCTCCCTGCCAAGAGTTCAGCAGGACCTAAAGATGAGGTAAACAAGGTGATCATTTTTCTTGCCCAACCACTGAAATGCCATTGGACTATTTGTGCAAGTCAGGCATGAACGTAACTCATTTATCTACAGACCTAGGCTCTAATTCTGTATAAAATGGAGCAAGAAAATTGATCTTCTGAAGCCTTCTTCTCATTTAAGACTGATTTCCAATAAAAATGAATAAATAAGTTACAACCAAACTGAGCCAATTATTGTTATGCATGATATTTTAAAGCTGGATTTTGCTCTGGATGAATAAATTACATTTGCTCTGGATTAATAAATTACAACAGAATTCTTATCCAGTGAAGTTTTAATAGATAACTTGGAATAAGACAAGGTGTTATCCATTCATTTTCTCTGCAGAGTAAACTGCTTGCCAGACAAAAAAAAGGCATCAAGGGCTACTTACAAATGAGAATTTTTACCACTGAGCCTATATCTGTGTTATAATTCAGATGTATTACCCACAGCTGTTTTAGATATGAGCAATCTACTTACAGTTATCTGACAGTGATATTAGTATAGCTGTGGTAGAACAGCTATACTGTTCTGGATCAGGCAAATACTACTTGTCAGAGTATTTCCCAAAGATCCCCAATGGATCTTGACACTGAAATTAGTGTAGCCAAACTATTACTATCAAAGCCCTGTATTTAAATTCACCAAGGTTATACCTATACAGCCTGTTAAGTTCCAGGATAGATAGACCATTTGAAGACAAAGTTGAACACAGCTTGTGCAAGCTACTTCCTTTCTAACAATACCTTGATGCAAATTAGAAAACATCCAGTCATTTCAGATATGTTTACAAAGACCTAGCCAATGTATGTCAGTCTTACCTCAATACTGTCAGAAGCTGTCTCATCTAGCTGCAGGGAAAGGGTGGCAATCTACTGAACTACTCAGCCGTTCTTTCCCAGGCTGTGAAAATAGATAACTCTTCATACTGGGTAGTCAGGTTCATTTAACCCTGTTTCAAAAAAAAAAATTAGTTTGCCTAACACAAACCAAAGTATTCTTTTTTCCCCCCCCCAAATTAGCATTTTTCAGCACACCAGCAGTTTGTTTCTGAATGGTAAGTGTAAGGGAGACAGCAAACAATCAAGTTTCAGCTGGATGTGCAAGTTCACTACACAGTGATACTGAACTGAAAGGTAGTGTGGGCTCCCTTCAGAAAACTATCTCACTAAACCGAAAATGAGTGTAAGCAGGTACCTGAAGCAGGTACCTAAATAGGGCCCCTTAGACTGAAACTATCCTGCTAGACTACAAAGTGTTGCAAACTGCTGTTTTCCCAACCAGAGTTAGGAGAAGAAATCAGTTATTTAAAAAGTCATTCCCTTACACAGGTTACGTTATCCTGAACAGTGTGATAAGTATTTGATGAAAACATAAGTAAGATTTGTTGAATACTAACATAAACCTTTCACGCGAGGGTATTAACTCCTGAATATTATACCTCCCTATGAATCTGAAATGAAAAAGCAAATGATGTAGCTGATTCTGAAAGCAAGTACAGACTGGGAAAAATTCAACTAAGCTGATAAGCAGCAAGCAAATGCTAACTTGCATTGGATTTGCATCTAACTCTGAAGACTTCAGTTTAGGCTCTTAAAGCGTTTCCAGTAGGAAGCTGAAACATCATGAACTCATTTCCACTCACATTTTCAAAACCAATTTAGAATAATTTAGGTAGATGATTCTTTAGTATTGTAGCCCTTTTCAAGCTTATTTGGTTTCTTATGTATCCAGGCATCAATTTAAAAAATTGTTCTTGTAATCTAGAATGAAGATTAGTTGTCACTTCCCTAATATCTCTAACTGGAAATTTAAGAGCTTCAACTGAGTTAGCAGTAGAAATTGCCCTACTTACTCCCTGCATGAAGTAATAAACTGGAGGCAATTGAAATTTGAACACAACACAAGAATACTTGGCAGTCTACCACCAATTTTAGTTGTCGGTTTTCAGTTTCAGCAGTAGCTGGCAATAGAGCTAAATCTGTTAGAGGCCATTTCTTTTTTGCATCTCTGTCCACTCTAAAGCTGTCCCAGATGCACGTGCCTGTAGGTAGCCAGTATTAAAAACACATTACACAGTGATGTTTCAAACACGAAAAAAGATCTGTTCACTATAATCGTATCTTTACTTGATTCTTTGCCCTAAAGACTTGGTGACTAATTTACTACTCTGATAGCAGTTCAAAGTCCACAGTACAGGGTTGGGTTTTTTTGGCTTAAGGTACAGAGGCTTAAGTTGATTCATCTTTTCTTAACATTGACACTGACAATTGTTGCCTTTTTAGTAAGTTTTAGTATTTTGGAACATGTGCTGACTTGATAAATCTATTGACTCTCCTACAGGCTTCATCATCCACAGCTAGAAAATTTTAAAAGCTCTTATCCGGAAACTGAGAGTAGCTTGTACTTCACAGTTAAATATGTTTAAATGCTACTTCTAGCAAAAGTTAGTGTTTCCTTATACCGGCTTGAACTTCAGTTTTTCTGATTCCACATATGTTAGCAAAATTAACCAAAGTAGCAGTATATATTACAGGCTAGGTTTACAACAAGACAAAGAACTGTTAATAATCAGTCTAGTTCATTCTGGCTTACTGTTTTAGGAAATGCTTGCTAAATAGTCAGTAAAAGCATATCCCTTATGAAAACTGTGCAGAAGAAACTCAGAGAGGACAAAAGAACTGAAATAAAATTTGCAAATTTAAGATATATTCCTCAAAGAAAGCCACAGTTCTAGTTTACTAAGTATGTTATGTGACCAAATCTCTGCAATGAAACTGGCCTGTAATACATTAAGTATAAACATGGACAATGCAACACTTGATTTTTCAGGTAAAGATGGCAGAGAGGCTATCAGTCTGCTAGTTCTCGTTCAGCTGCAAGTAAAATAAGGGAAAATATTTTTAGTATGAAGATGGAAAAAAGAAGAGAACTCTGAGATGAGTATACAGCAACATTTCTTAGCTTAAGATATTCAAGGATAATAGAACACCCAAGTAAAATCTTGAAATGACAACCATTTGATTGACATTGCTAGATGGACTTTCTTCCTTGAAGATGAAAATCCTAGAAGTCACTTTTCTTTAAGACAATGATGTTACTTTAAGGCAAAGGTATTGTATACTGTGTACGATGGCCATGGTTTTATGGTTGTATTTCAAACACTCATGTTACCTCAAGCTGCTCTTTAAATTAGGTGCAGCTAGCTTAAGACGCTTTACATGCCTAAGTTAGCATTACAAATTGGTCTGAAAAAATTGTTTATAATTATGGATGCTCATTTTCTAGAAGTAGTTAAAAAGTTTTATTTAGATTTTTAAAAGCTTTTTAAAATAGTAATTCAATACTTCTATCTAATTTCTTTTCCTTTTGCAGGCAGAATGTCCACTGTGCAGAGAGAAGTTTCATCCTCAGAAACTGATCTACCTACGTCACTATCAATAGTAAAGCAAAATCTTTTCTCTTTCATGACAAGCACCTCAGGTCTCTTCCCTTTACAAAGTGGCCATACAGCTTGAGTTAGTCGAAGAACAAGGTTTTATTATAAAACTGATAACTGCCTGTACAAGGTGGCACTCATTTCTGTTTTACAAAAGAAACCTATTTCTGGCTTCAGCCCTTCTGTTTCTTGTAACATGGTTCTTGACCGTATTAAAAACGCCTCTTTAAAAGGGTGATTAGGACAAATGTAATTCTCTTCCTTCACTTTGGGCAATGAAAGATATACATCAAATTCTCATTCTCTAAATACAAGTGCGAACAGCGAGTCTTCCAGTCTTTCATTGCATACTTAAGGTATTAGTAAAGTTCTAGGATTTGTAAGACTCTCTTTTGTAACATTACAATGGTCCGTGCTGTAGGCTTCAGGGGGAAAAACGGTAGCTCTACACAAATTCTTAGTTTATCTGCAGTGGAAAATCTGATGATAAATACATGCCAGGTACCATTCCATTTTCACAACAAGTTAACAATAAAGCAGGTTTCCTTGATTTCACAAGCTACATTACTTCCCTTAAATCAACAGAAGCAACAAATGCAAGGAGCCCCTTGAAATGCAGATTACAGGCTATTCTATACACTGATCTATTAATATTCAGCTTCCAAACTCAAAGCTTTTCTATCATTATTAAATATCAAAACTTTTCATCAAGTAGTCCAGACATTTAAACTGCAGCAATGTAACAAGTGTTTCAAAAAAACCTTTAGTACCATATACTAATAGCAAACTAAGGTCAAGGATAAAACTTTTTGTTAACAGTTTGTTTTGTCTGTGTGTTTTCTACAGTCTAATGCAAGTAGGGAGAAAGCTTGCTTTAGACAGGAGCCCCATCTCTGCCTTATGGCAATAGGGACTATTTATTCTAAACCAGTATTTTAAGAGTATAAATGAGGAGGGATTCAGCAGCATAACCTCGCCAAGGTTTATTTCCATTTAATTCACTCATAAAAGTATTCAGAGCAGCAGGGAAAAAGAAGATACTCAAATGTTAGCATATCTTCTCCTCGTTATTGCATAATAGAAAACATACAACACATTTATATTCTTTAAATTCAGATGGGGCAGGAAATCCAGATGATCTGCTTTTTGTGGATCATAAGTTACAGTTTCAATAAGACTTTCACTACTGGCACTGAATTGGCACCGAACATGCACGGGGGGTGAGGGGGAAAATCTGACAGTAAGAGCACTTTTTTTTTTTTTTTTTAAATGCTGCAGGGGTCCTGGTTAGCTAGTTAACATTTAAATACTAAACCATTACCATAAAGTCAATCAATCAAATTGTTTAACTTTACATCATACATACAAATGTAAGGGAAAAAAAAAAAAACAACAACAGTTGCTGATAGGCAACCATGCCAAAATTTCAGCATTACTTTATGAAAGACTGATTTTTCAGAGATGAAATACCTTCCCTTTCTTGCATGAAAAAAAACTTTCAGTACTGACCCACATGCCTCAAACTGTCAAGGCACAATGGAAGAAAAAATGGTCCACATCAGGACTCAGGTCCACATCAGTTTTGAGTAGCTAAGGGAATCACTGCCAGGCATTTAACTGCATGTAAAAACAAACGGGAAGTGATCAGTGAATATGAAATTGCTGTGAAGTTGCCCAGCCAAGTTTATCATGCATTCTGTAAGAATAATTTTTATCACTCATAAGTGATACTCATACCAGTCATAAGCAGTAAGTCATAAAGTGATAAAAATAGACCAAAGTTTAACAAAAAGCCCTCTGACTCATCTACCCTCTGCACGCTGAGAATCAACTAGGGAACTACACTCTGCCTTTGTCCCAATTTCAACTACAATTTGTATTTGAAAACTGTTAGTCCCACTGGATGTGGAACAGCTATGCCTGCCTAAGAATGAGAAGGCATACACCAGAAGCTCCCACTGAAGAGGGGAAAGAAAAAAGAAAAAAAAAAAAAATCAAAGGGCAGAAGGCATTTCTAATTTGCAACGGCTATTCTAACACTCCTTTGTCCAACAGGGGTCATCCCAGTTGCTAATATTAAAACCGATAAAAATGAACAATTTCTATTTTTCCTCCTCGATTCACTCCAACCAGCCTAAACACAGCTTCTCCAAGTCAGGGCTTTCAGATTTTTAGGCAATGAACCGCAAGCATCCACGACTGGTAATTTTTATAAGGCCCCTTCTAGCTACTCTGTTTCCATAATTTTAAACTTTTATGCATATTACTAGCTTTCATATTCCTAATTAAAAAAATAGGCCAATGTTAACTAAAACTACCTTTCATTTTTTCCAGGATTACTGAAGGCTGAATCACAGGGTTCCAATTACATGTATTTTCAAAATACATTTTCCAATTAGCTGTCTATTGAAGATGCCACTGCTCTCCATTCAGAATCTTCAAGGGGCTAATCTTTTCCTATCTTCTGCAAATATAATGTGAATGCTCCCTGAAGAGCTAAGAAAATGTGTTACGTGAAGACAAATTCTAAGGGCAGCCATAACTGAAAAGGATCTATAAACACCACTGGATTACTGTAGGTATAAAAAGATTAATAAAGGACAAGAAAGGGGGACACTATCTTTTAATAAATTTTGGAATTAAAAAGTCACTTAATAAAACTGCAGTTGTATCACATCAAAAAGTTTACATGCAGGTCATTTATCTCTATATTTTTCCATAGAAAATTAAAAGCTGTGTTAAAACTTGTAAAGTTTGTCTACTATGGCCAATTTGGGTATTCTCTGAAAGGGCTGCATAAAGTCAACTTAAATTAACCAAGAAACGCTCATGTATTAAAGAAATGAGACAAAATATTCTCCAGCTAATAACAATTAAAATATAATATATATTTATAATTCCAGGTCCTCAAAAGAAGTCGTGAGAGATTTTGAACAAAGTTTTGAGTCATCAAGAAAGAGCCCAATTCTAGCATCTGCTATGAGATATCATGGTGAAACTGGCATTAAAACCTTACACAAATGAGTTACCTTAGAAGCCATACATATATTTTTCCCTGCTGCCAAACCCACAATTTAACAGATTTCTTATTCCTATTTATATATTTTTTTTCCATTGTAACTCAGTAATACCATGCATTTAACAAACTGGCTTAAATTCTGCATCTATTAATGTCTACTAGACTTCTGTATGAAAACAGCACGTATCCATGAAGCAGAAAACAGCATCATGTATGCCACCTTACTTTTTTCCTCCACATATGTGCACAGCACTTCAGGGTCACAGTAAGCAGGAGAACTACGTAAAAATATCTAACTCTAAGCCATTAGTCTCTCTCCAGTGTAATGGCAGCTGCAATGGACCTTAAAAGAAATACGTCATCCCAAAGCCATGGGGCTATCAAAAGTTCCTCCAGCTCTTAGAAAAGATACTAAACTCAATGCAATTTGGTTAGAATGCCAGTTTCTTCAAGAAACTGATATTTCAGATAAAAATAGCAAGATCCTCATAAAATGAAAATTCAACTGCTTTGTCACCACCCTCTTAATCACTTTATATGAAGAAAAAAGGCATTGTTACAATGGCTCAAAACCATTCCTTTACGTATAAGCAGAACTGGTCAACAGGTTGATTGTATCTTCTAGCTAGCAAAGGTCTTTCCCACGTCTTCTTTCCCTTTGTATTTCCTCTTGCCATGTGTGAAGGGTATATATCTGTATTTTATCATATGCTGTAAAAAAAAAAAAATCAATTTTTAGAGGCAATAAACTTAGATAATGTTTACAAAAAATGCTTTATAATATGCACTTTAAATTAAAAAGTCCTCTAGAAAGACAACTCTTCAGTATTGTAAAAATGGTTGAATAGCCAAACATACACAATTTTACATTTAAATAGGGCTCTCAGCGTAATCTTAATCTCAAATTTGGGTATACCCTCTCCAAAAACACGCATAGCCTAGTGAAGATAACTGATTGGGAGATACAAAGAATATGGGAATAGCATAGAGGTATTAATCCCTTACTGCCCTTTAATCTTTCACTTACAATTCTGAAAACAGTACTTATGACCAAAAATTAAAAGTTCGTGGGGGGGGGGGGGGCACACCAAAAACATTGGTTCTCTTTTTAAAAATCCAGACAAAGTAATTTTTTTAAAATGGTCTCAATGACTTGCCTATGTTCTTCTCCCTCTCCTTTTCTCCATCCACTTTCTTGCACAAACTTGTCAAAACTCCTCCTTTCCACTCAGAGATCTTAAAAGACCTCTTCATTAAAAATAGCCACAGAGTTAACTCAAGAAAGAAAGTGGACGGGAAACTGTAAGACTGTTTAAAAAACAGATATCTAAGTCTGAGACTGAAATCTTTGGAAAGCAAGCATCAAATTGTGTAATATAGTATGAAGAATTCTTTTTCCAAGCATTTTTATTTGTTATTACCAATATTTGCTCAAATTTGCAAATATGCAGACATGTTTAGGTGTTCACGCTTATCTAGTAAAAGAAACGCACACAATATATTTAATACCTCTGAAGTACTCATCTGGATGTCAGCTTGGAAAAATACTGTAAGTTTTGAAGTCACAAGTGCTCCCATCTATTCTAAATAAGTTACCTTGATTTGCCTCTTCATAGTGATACAAAACAGCATAATGAAGTACATGACAAGGATTGGCCAAAAAACAGGAACGTTGAAAGCCTCGAAGAATGTACATGCCATAGCAACCAGGATGCCTTTAGTGGCAGAGTGCCTTAAAAACAACATTAACAATTATTCCTTCAACCCAAGCCACACTTATTTGACACAGATATTTAAATGTTTCAGAAACAGAGTATGGGCTGATGGATCCACTCACCAGAATTTAAACTCTGGGAGCCTTCTAATGAAAGGCCGAAATTCTTCGTTTTGCTTTGTAGGTAAGGAAGGACCATCATCTGAGAAGAAGAAGAAAATAAACCCCACACCTCACACTAATTTTCACTGTATTCACTCCTCAGACTTTTAAAAAAATCTTTCTGAAAAAAAGCTTTTACTGCCATCCAGATCCCAGTTCCAGTGGCTGCTTTAACAATCTAATGTCCATTTCCCAAAAGAAAAAAGAAAGATACAAGAAATGAGTGCCAGATGACTTGAGTCCTTACAAGGAGGACTTAAGCCACATAAACCTTATATCAAAATACAGAAAAGTAATATAATACAGACTAAAATGAATTTTGTTGAGGATTAATATGTAAAAGACAAATTTTATAGTGATCCCTAAAATCAGGTTGCATAGAGTTTTTACAAGTTTAAAAATATAACATCATGCTAAAAGTGTGCATCCTCACACTGTTATATTAGACAAGATGAACTGGAAGTTTGACTAAGTTCAAAACTATTGCCATGTGAACTGTTCCTCATACCTGAATCTTCCATTAAAGAGGGGTCTACCTTTGGTGACAAGAAAGCTATGAAGAGATTTAGATGGTATATTCCCAAGGCATATGTCACAATGTACCAACCCTGAAGGGGGAGAGGAGAAAAGAAACAAAACTAAATACTTCCTGGAAACCACTTTCAGATACTTATTTTTCAACAAGATTGAATAATTTGGTTTTAGCTTCTTGATTAAGTGCTTTTCTGCATCCTCATATTCACATGAAGAGTTTTCTGGACTTAGTTAAAACATATATAAATATACACACACACACACACATTGTTATATATATATATGAATATACACTATAATAGTTCTTTGCCTTTCTATTAACACATTTTCTGTTATCTGCACAGTGACATGTAACATATATAAGTCTTTTACAGCTATGCAAATACTGACTAAGTTTACTAGGAAGACAAACAAGCAAAGCTGAAATATCTATTAGCCTTTGCAAACTAAATGTTTTATGAAGATACTAGGGTAAAACCTAATATATTAATGGAAACAAGTCTTAAGACATAAAAGTAGTGACATTCCCTCATATATTAGCAGATTTAATATAAACGCTTTCTTCAGACATCCAGTTTCCACATTAAAAACACATAAAAGTAGTAAACAACATACAGGCAACAAGTTTCTTAGTGTGTATTTTTTTTTCTTTTTTTAAAAACTGGCTTCGAATTCTTAAATGTCTTCATTACTACAATCTTCTAGCTTTTCACACTTGATTTGTAACCCTTCAGTTTTCAGGAATAACAATTCTCAAGCTCTTAATTGGATTATCGATTGTCATGAAATACAGATACCTGATCAGTGGAGAAATAGTTTGCTGCTGGTCTGCAGTGGTAAAAGTGCCAATTAAGAAATTCTTTAAGGTATGCATGACAGAAGGTAACTACTGGCTCCTGAACAAGTTACATAGCTTTAAAATGAAAGGTAAAGCCTTAAGTGAAACAGATTTTTCTGAAGTTTATTTTGTAATTTCATCAGAACTATGGGAGTTTTTCTACTTTCTCTTGCCATCAATTGAATATCTTGACTCATTCACACATTTTTCAGTCTGGAGCAGCAACTTCAGTATCAACTAGATGTGTTCTTTCTTCAGACTATCTGGTTCTTTTTTTTAAGCACGTATGCTAATGATACATTATGTAATTCCCAAGTGATATCATACTTCAGAAACATTCTTACACACACAAAACAGTAGTGTTATCTAAAAAAGCTTAGCAGTAAACCCGGTTTTCCTACCTGCAGTAAATAAACTCTAATCATGTAGATAAAACTCAGGCCCAAAGTTACAATCCATCGCACTGCAGTATATGGAGTAGATTTATCTAACCAGGATTGGTAGAGCTAGGAAGAAATATAAAGTGTATATCTGTAAAACATACGACACATAATGAATAATAAAGCATTAGAACTGGTAACTATTTTGAAGTGGTTTTGGAAAGCAGAGTAAGATTAAACATTTTTCTTCTTTAACACAAATATACTTAATGGCTAATTATGAGCACTATAAAATACAAGTCCTATATTCCTACAAAGGCAAAAAATCTTCCCCTCGTGCTTGGACATCATAAAGATTTAAATTTTCAATACTTCATGAGAGTTTGCTTTCCTTAAGATGTTTCTGACAGAGAATCTAAAATCATTCATCATTTTTGACAATAAAAGCATACACTTTCACTAAGCAAAATCGAATATACACACATTAAATATTTCACTAAGCTATGTATTGTAGCATTCGTTATCTATTTTTAAAACATTTAGAAATCTTTTGTACAGATTTTAGTATTTCAATAGCTCATCCAAAAAACAAGTTAAAAAAAGTTGCAATGGGACCTGTTTCTAATGGAATCAGAAAAACCCTGCAGAAAACCAACCTGTCCAAGCCTTGTGAAAAATCTATAGACCATGGACGGCTTTCCATGAACAGACTCACCAATACTGTCCCCTTCTGACATTCTTGCTGTGGAAACAAAACAGTTACACAGATAACATTTAAAACCAAATCTACGCTCAGTGAGCTTTGAAGTACATTATTTGAACCAGCATTTATGTATGATATAGGTTTGGATTGTCCTGTTTGAACCAAATTATCTTTTCTGAAGCATTCTTAAAGATAAGGTATTTATTCTAATCATTTCCAAGAGAAATTGTCAAGAAAGTAGAGTATTTTATAAAAACAGTGAAACAGGATCCCATTTATTTTAGCAAGGGAAAAAAGTTCATACAGAAATCGAGGAATGAGCCTTGTTAGACAAGATGTTAGACATCTTCACCTTGATAAGTCAGGAGCTGATTTATAACATCTAAGCATTGAGATATGTATTGCAGCACCACCCTCCTGTCACCTCTGTTTCTGAAGACAAAGAACAAAACCAAAACAGTTTTTTAAAAATCTATTTAGGATTTCCAAATATTAAGTAACTAGAAGAGCGTGAAGCAGTTTAAGTTCAGGACACCAGTGGTTCCAAACAAAAATCTCCATAACCACCTAATTCAAAACACTGCCTACTGCCAGAATTATTGAGCGAGTTCATCTGTCTCATGAACATGAAGACCTTAGCAGTCACAGAAAAGTTTTATACATGAGCAAAACTGCTTATTTAAAAAACTGGACCAGGATTTTGAACTCAAGTAAAACATATTAACCAAGGGAATTATTAAGTACATACTGAGGCTACCAATTTAGGATCTTCCTTTTTTTTTTTTTTTTTTGCCCCCTCAGTTAAGCCCAAGTAACCTTTACCATTCACTTCAAAATATAAAATGAACAAAATCAAATGGAACCTAAACAGCAACATTTCTGCCACATCACCAAAGGCAATCCCTAATATTACTTCCTGAAGTCCCCATCTGTGGGCGGGACTACATAACTGTGGGATAACGGAAGTATTTTCAGTACTAATAACTCAAAAGCCTCAGATGAAAAACAAAGATGTGCGAAACATTACTATATTACTACCATAAACATGTAAATTGCCTTGCATACTGCAATACAGTGACCACTACAAGAAAGAAATTTGAGACCAAGGACAATATGAGGAGTCATGGAATATTAAAGTTGCATATTTTTCTTTAGACATCTGAAAATCACACCCTATGGAATAAATGATAAGTAATAAAAAGGAGTCCTATTGTGCTGCAAAAGACAATGGGATTCATTATGAGGCTTCAAGAGTTTCAGTCTGCCTTAATTCAAGTTACCTCAGACAAGTTAAAAATTCCTAGAAACTCATACAATATAGACACAGGCTTTTCCACTACAGGCAAATGGGAAGTAATCTATTATTCTCCCTATTCACTGCAGAAGAACAAAAATACTCAGCATTGTTAGGTGAATAAGACTTTGTGCTTTTTTGGTTCTTTTTGAAACCTCCTGAACTAATAAACCTTCAAAAAGAGATACTCAAACTATTGATCAGATAGCAATCCTCTAAAGAGCACAAAGAAATTCTAAAACTGCCAACCTAAGTAGACCAATTGAAAAATTATGTATGTAAGGCTGTTGATGGTTTTCTGAAGGAGTAAGGATTTTGCTTAGTGACACAGGTAGTAAAAAAACCTTATGTATGTCTATCATACATCCAGTTATCAGCTGACGCTCTGTTTTAGCAACAAGACATCTCTCACTGGCTCAGTTTAAGTAGCATAGACTAAAGTATCAATTTCATATTTATAATTTAAGAATTTTAGAGAATATTGCTCATCACCAAAACATTTACTTAAAGAACATCTGCAATTAGATTAGCACTAAGAAAAGCAGTCTTTGGCATTTGCTTTTAAGATGGTTTACAGTTAAGAGTACATATCAGATCTCAGCAGTATGGGTAAAAATTAAAACTAAAGAGTAATAGCCTTTCTTTCATAACATAAAACTTCACTCTTCAGCATAATGTTAACAATCCATTCGTTTGAATAAAGCCAGTAATCAAAGAGATGTATAAAGATTCATATAACAAACAATTGAACAGTTTGCTACTAACAGAATATTGACTGCTACTAAAAACAATCACATCAAGAGGCTTTTCTCTGCTGAAAAATATCAAGTAGGTGCGTATATGACCTTCAACAATTATGCTTTTTACCACAGTTACTATGGTGATGTCATGAACAATAGCATTACATTCTAGGATTCTGCAAAATGAAAGGATTTGGGGCAGTAAAGATGTTTCATTCATTTCTTTCAACAGAAAGTAAAGACCTGCAGAATTTTTAGACAATGCTTTGACCATGACATAGACTTTCTTAGATTTAAAATACAAATGAGGCAAATAACTAGAAATAATTCATCAATTACGTTAAGTTTTCTCTTCTCGTAAAGTAAGCTTACTTTCAAAAGCAACATTCTGAAGCAATTTGTTATTAATAGGGCGAGCAGATAAGCACAGGAAAATAACCCATTGATCTGACAAAGTGTATCTTCTACCCTGGAAAGAAGGTAGAGTATAACAGCTGCTTGGCCTGCCTAAATAGCAGCAGCAGTCTTATGGCACCGGACCGCCTTGTGTTTCTCAGGAAACATGGACTTCCACGTCCCTTCAACACCACCTAACAAACACTGTTCAACAAAAGCAATACAAGAAACTCAGTAAAAAAACACAGCAAACAAACAAAAAAATAAAAATAAATACTGCTTTGACAAAGAGGCCAGAACGGGAAGCCCCCGAGATAGTAGCAGAGCCCACTGAGGTCAGGTGGCCCGGAAACAGCACTGAGAGAGACGGCGGTGAGGGGAAAGGGAAAACAAGCCCTCGGGCGGCCCGCAGGAGGCCTGGCCCAAGGCGGCCCAGCAGCAGCCCCACAGCCGAGAGCCAG